CATCAACGCCACAGCCTACCTGAGTATTGCTGCTGACCATGTCCATCCCTTTATGAGCACAGTGTCTCCATCTTCTGATGGCTACTTCCAGCAGGATAACGCAGCATGTCATAAAGCTCAATCATCTCAGACTGCTGAACATGACGATGAGTTCACTGTACTCAAATGGCCTCCACAGTCACCAGAGCTCAATCCAATAGAGCAGCTTTGGGATGTGGTGGAACGGGAGATTGGCATCATGGATGTGCAGCCGACAAATCTGCAGCAACTGTGTGATGCTATCATGTCAATATGGAGCAAAATCTCTGAGGAATATTTCCAGTAGCTTGCTGAATCTCTGCCAGCAAGGATTAAAGCAGTTCTGAAGGCAAAAAGGGTCCAACATGGTACTAGTAAGGTGTACCTAATAAAGTGTCCGCTGAACGTATATTTAGGTGTAACAAATACTGTAGATTTTCTTTTACTATAGTAAACTGTAGTGTTTTGTAGTATACTATACCTAATAGTTATTAGAATAGTTATAGTATCCAATAAATAATTTTTTATTACTATAGTTGTCGTGTTACTACAGCCATGGGAATCTTTTTGGCTTGAGACTTCAGCTCTCATTCTCTTCCATTGATTTTTACATGTTAAAAACAGCTTGTTATGCTGCTTGATGTTGCAAACTGATATTATTCTCCTTTGTATAGTGATGAACACAGTTGTTTGTAGGGTAAATAGTTTGACCATTTTCTGCCTGTTATTATTTATAGTCTCATGTGCAGCTCAGCTGATTAGGAAGTTCTAAAACATTCTCAAAAACAAGCGCATTTGAGTATAAAGTCAATAGTATATTTAAAAATAATACAGTATTTAGCTACTATAAATGACTTTAGTATGCTTTTCCATTTAGAATATAGCATTATAGTAAACAAATGTGCCATTCATTTATACATGAGCAACTTTCATAAATCACCTTTGCATATTTTTGCGAGGTAATCTGAATGTAGCCTGTATTTGAGATGCACAGCAGCTCTTGTGGGCTTCATACAGTGGGCTGTTTGTGTTTGGCACATTGCGCGTTCACAGGGACTGTGGGTGAGCGCGCGCATGGAATTTTAATCGCGCACGTGCCTCGCATACAAAGACATCACGAGGGCTTAAGAAGGTCTCGCACACACTCTTTTTGGGTTGACGGTGTTTATTACTAAATACAGGTTACATATCGTGCAGAATACATGATTGTGGCTTTGAATTGGGCTATTAAACACACTTATTTTCAGGTGAAACCATCGGATTCATCTTGCATTCGGTCCGTCTTCATGCGCTCATGCGGGTTTCCATGGCAACTGTAGAATTCTCAAGCGCACGCGGCTTCTCATTCCCGCGCTTGTCACCTGATGGCGCGAAAAAGCACTTCAAAAGTACCTGAGAGGTGTTAAACTGCTCTTCAAGAAATACAGCTTTCTCATTTTAAGTGCTAAGTGTTTACAATATTATCTGGGTTCGTGACGAACTTTTCCAGAGGTTTCTTCCCATTCACACAGTTGCTAAATGTGCTTCCGGAGCTTGGTCAAAATATGTGGTATTTAATTTCCCCAACTTTTCAATCGTGATCGTCATAACAAATTAGCACGAGTATGAAATATACATAAGTAGTTGGGTTATAAGGATTTTCATATTATGGAGAGATTATTTGTACCAGCAAAATAGCAATCAATGCGCAATAAAAGAGTCCAACCCGGTACTAAATATGTGTACCTAATAAAGTCGCCGCTGAGTGTATATTAAGGTGTAATAAACTAATAAATACTGTAGCTTTTCTTTTACTATAGTAAACTGTGATGTTTTAGTATACTAGACCCAATAGTTATTATAATAGTTATAGTATTCAATAATTAGTTTCTTATTTCTATAGTTTTTGTTACACTACAGCCATTGGAATCTTTTTGGCCTTTCAATCTTGATCATTATAACAAATTAGCACGAGTATGAAACAGAAGTAGTTGGGTTATAAGGATTTCATATTATGGAGAGATTATTTGTGAAAGCAAAATAGCAATCAATGTGCAATTGTCCAATATAGCCACGTTTTCATTTGTTAACTATTAAATATGGCGGCTATTTACACACTCAAGCATCTGCTGTCATGATTTCTGATGTCAATTATTTGTTAAGTTGTTTTTGGTTAAAGTGTATGCAGTATTGATTGTTATGTCGATGCTGTTTCACAAGAAAAATGTCAGACTTGTCTGATAATAAAGTGTATATTAATACATTTAAAATAAATCAGTTTAGTTCCAAATATTAGTCAGATTTACAATTGGGCAAAAACATAGCGAAAGTTGGTGAAAGATCTCCCTCTGTTGGTCAAAGCCTGTAAATACAACTCCAGTAATCAATTTGATCAATTGTCGAAGTTTTATTATTTTGTTATGGTGAAAAATGGAAAATTTTCTCATGACTTAAATGCTTTCAGATTTGCCTGGATTCATGAATATAACTATATTATACATTAATACAACGATAATAATAACTATAATAAATCTTCAACAGTTTTTGCATTATGCAGGCTGGTCATATGGCAGCTTTGTATATAGTTACTGGAATTACCTAATACCAAATACAGCATCAAAAACAACAACAACAACAACAACATATCAGTGATTTTAAAATAGCATAAATGAAAATCATGCTTGCATTTTACCCAAACCAACTAACTTCGTGCTTTTATATTATAAATAGTGTTCGATTTTAGTTGTCACTTTTAAAATCACAAACATTTGTTTTTATTCGCAATTAATAATGCTCATAATCTCTACCCCATAAACCTCTAGGGACTTAGACAAAATCTTGAGAAACCTTCCACTGACCTGAAATGTTTTATTAAACATATTTATTTAATCATTGATCGTAAGATAACTCAGCTTGAGTTCACTCTTTCTGAAAATAAGACACAGATTAACAGGAGTGATTGTCTCATAAAAAGATTTATTTTCTGCCTAAATGTACAAAGGCAAGTTACAGTTTGTATAAAAAAATGTAGCAATTTACACTTTACACGAGAGATCCCCAGGAAGAGAGAGTGGGACAGAGGCAGCGAGGAAAGGTAGCATAAAAGAAATGGATCCAAGCGCAGAAATGAAGAGATGTAAACATCTTTCTTTCAAGTACCGATGACTGACACACGGAGATGCTGCTGCGCTCTACGAATCTTGAGTGGGCGGGGCTTAATTTGCAGGATGTGTTGGGGGAGGGGCTAATAATACGAACAGATAACTGAAAAACAAAACCGAAATCTCCCTCTTCTCTTCCCGTGAGGACTGCACAGGGCAGGCTATATATTAGCACCGTCTGAGACAAACGTCAACCAATGTTTGAACTGTTAAAACAAAAACCGGCCGTTTCACCTTTCTACGAACTAGAAAAAACAACAGCAACAACAACAAAAAAATAGAAGAACCCTCGAAAAATAAATTAAAACAATCAAGCGCTTTATCCTCAACAATTCTGAATCAAGTCACCAGACAGCACAGGTTTACTGCCGCAAAGACAACTAAAAGTGAAGTTATTACTATATATAAAAATGCGAACTCTCTCGTATTAGCGCGAGCCTTTTTCGAGGCTGATCTGAGACCAGTAGCTCTTTAGCTGATCTAAAATCAGAAGGTTTTCAATCACCACAGAGAGATTAAAGACTAAACTAAATCAATGTGCAATTAGGCCTCGTTAGCATTAGTTCAAATTAGACGAAGGGACGGTGGAGGCTTCGAAATTAACGTCAAATTAAAAATCTAGAAAAATATTAGTTGCATATGCTGAACATTTCTGGCTATACTCAATATGGAGATGAAAACTGCCATGTAAAACATCGGGAAAAAAGCTTAACGCATTGCGTTATGTAATGTCGTCTTCCCTGTGTCGTCCAATAATCGAGTATGAACGCGCCAGGATGATTTCGAAGGCTCACATTTCAATAATGCTCTCCTGAGAGTTTCAGATTCGCACAATAACTGCATGACGTTGAACTGGACCCAAAAAAGCAAACTCCAAATAGGCCAGGCATGTCCAAACTCGGTCCTGGAACGCCTGTGTCCTGCGAAGTTTAGTTCCAACCCCAATCAGACACAAACAAGCTAGCTAATTAAGCTAGGCATTCTAGAAACATCCTTGCAGGTGTGTTGAGGCAAGTTGGAGCAAAAATCTGCAGGACACCAGCCCTCCAGGACTGAGTTTGGACACCCCTGATAGGCCATCGCTTCATTATCTATAGTCTCCAAGCAGACTCCCTACTGAAATATGAACTTATGCTTCTTTTTTGGAGGAGATGTTTGATTAAAATCGCCTTTATTTCAGTGAACGCAACACAAAAACAAACAGATGTGCTTTTAAATGCTCTCCAAGCAGCGTGGGACTGACGTGACGTTGAAGAGGAGGGGTAGAAAAAGTAGTTAAAAAACAAACAAAACGTCCAATATAAAGCCGTACACCAGCTAAACGTTGATATTATGTCAACAATGGTAGAAAAAAGGCTAACAGACGAAATAAACAAAACAAAGAGAGATAGTAAGAAAATCCGATAGCATCCAACAACCTTTTTTAAAATAATTCCTTTGTACAATATATACAGAAAGCACATAGTGAGGGAGAAAAGGAAGGACGCCTGCACGTGTTGCATTGCTCTGTTTGGGTTAATGCTGAGTGCTGGATCAAACCATGCAGAGAAGTGGGGGTCCGGCTTCTTCGGTTGGGGCTCTGCGAGTCTTTAAAGAAGTCTGGATCGACGCTTCTTTTGGGGTTTTCCATCTCAGATCGCTCTAAGCCTTCAAGGTTTGCTTTGTTTTGAGATTGGCAAGCAGCATATTGAAGTATCCGTGTGTGAAAATTCAGTTCGTGACCAGACAGTTCAGTAGAGTCTGGTAACTCCATTGGCAAACACACACACACACACTTACACATATAAATGTGTCCCAAACGACCATCTTATAGGATTGCGTCCAATCTGGAAGCCACAGTTTCTGCATTGTGGGGCGCTCCATCAGACATGGATAATCCAAAATCGGTCAAAAATCACAGAGGAGTCGTCGTTGCCTATTCGAGAACAAAACATGGGAGTGGCGATTTGCGGTTTATCATTCATAAATGAAAAACAAAAGGAGCATGAAGGAAATCCAAGGAATTCCTCACTTTAGTTTCGGAAATGGGCTCATTTTACAGCTCTCCTGGAGGTGAAGTTGAGTATTTTAACATATTTAGCTGACTTCTGGGTCTTGCTGGAGAACTTTTAGCTTAGCTTAGCATAAAGCATTGAATCGGATTAGACCATTAGCATCTCACTCAAAACAATGACCAAAGAGCTTGGATTATTGTCCTATTTAAAGCTTGACTCTTCTGTAGTCACATCATGTACGAAGATAAACAGAAAATTTATAGTTTTAGTCTACTTTGTTGGTTGATATGGATAGGAAGTAAAATAATAATAAAATAAAATCTTAATCTGGCGTAATAATCAAAGAACTTTGCTGCCGTACCATGTCTAAAGCAGCTCAATGATATTATATAGTGCCTGAATATAAATATTAGTAATAATATCATAAATACCAAGACTATTTTCAGGTGCTGTGTAATATTGCATTGCTTAAGCCATGGTACAGCATTAAAGTTCCTTATTTATTGAACGAGAGTTCAGTTTCTTGTCATAATTACCTAAAAAGGAGCAACTTTCCATTGTTCATCAGTCTTAATACACAATGCAACTACAAAAGAGTCAAGCTTTATATGATCGTAACTCTTTAGTCATTTTTGAGTGAGATGCTAATGGTCTAATCCAATTCAATGATCTATGCTAAGCTAAGCTAAAAGTGCTCCTGTGAGACCCATAGATTGACTGAATGGATTAAACATTCAACAAGGAGCTGTAAAATGTGCCTATTTTCCAAAAACTCTAGACGTTTAGACAGGGAAGTGCGTTTAAAAAAGCCTGTTGAACTGTCGACGGCTTCGCAACAGTAAATAAAAGACGAACTGCACTGCCCTGAATGAACCGAGTGAGGAAATCAAACCTTTTCCACTTGCATAGAGTCCACAGAGGCTGTGTATGAATTATATCACGCAGGAATTCTAAAAACAGTAATCCTCTCGAGCAGCAGTCCGCTTCGCTCAAGCTTTAAACTCAACGTAGTGACTTCCAGAACGTTCATCTGAGATTCCACACACTATGCAGGTCCGCGTTCATCCGGGGAGCGAGGTGTAGATCTCTGCCGTATCTCCGCTCTCCTGAAGATGATGCCAGCAGCACAGGGAGCGAGGATGTGCGAAGTGTAGATGGAGGCTGTACACTTTCCCCTTCTCTGACGCCGGTGGTCAAAGATGCAGGGAAAAAAATAGCGTAAATAAACCCAGCACATCATTGAACTGATGGCAGAAGCTCCCCAACCGCGTCCTCATGTGAACCAGTCACACGTCTGCAGAAAAGCGCTCACGTCTCCCTGCAGGAGGAAGGAGAGAGTTTAAGATGAACTGTCATAAATAGTGTTGGGTAAGTCAGAGCAAAGACACTAGTGTTCAGCTTAAAGTGACATGTAAAGGCTTCACTAGGGTAATTAGGGTAACTAGGCAGGTTAGGGCAATTAGGCAAGTCATTGTATAACAGTGGTTTGTTCTGGAGACAATCCAACACTAGTATTGCTGAAGGGGGCTAATAATATTGACCTTACAATGGGTGTCTGAACTCTTCATATGCTGCTTTATATGTGACTAAACAGCCATGGTCGTCAGTATAAAGAAGCCTTTGGTAGTAAGAGATTGTGACCACTAGAGGACAGCAGAGACTAAACTTCATTACAGGGAGGATACAATTTAAGGCAGTATGATAAATCACTATCATCTCGTCAGCAATATAAAATGAACCAACATTGTGAATACTGCTGATCTTTATGTGCTTTTTAATGGCCATTAAGTTCCTAAAGTAGCCTCAAATTGTTTTACACCCACTTATTGTCAGTATTTGCGTGCGTGAGAGACGGTAAAGATGTTTTAATAGCGCCTCTGCAGCCAAAAGTGGTTAGGAGGTTAATTAATTTCTGCAGCTTCGATTATGTCAATGGACTCTTTTCACATTTGCAGGTTTCTCAGCAGCAGAAGTCGCCATGGTTGGTAAACTCGAGAGCGCAGTGAATGGGACAGTACAACTAATCATTTTTTTGCACTGCTATTTGCTCAAATAATGTAAGAAAAATGTTTCCACGACATTTAGATAAAGGATAAAAATAGTGTGAGACTGATAACGGCAGCCAGAAGAGAGAATAATGCCAACTTTTCTGTCCTGTGTCCGTATAAACTTCATTACAAACACCTTGCATATGAAATCTGTAACCGTTGACTTCCAGAGAGTGTGTTTTTCCTACAATAAAAGCTAATGGTTGCAGGTTTTCACCTTTTTTTAAAATACAGAAAAATAAAAACTAAAAAAGGTTTGGAAACACTTGAGTGAGAGGAAATTTCCATTTTAATGAACTATACATTTAATGTTCAAGAACAGATTTCCCAAGACAACAGCTTGCAAAGTAATGGTTTCAAACTCTTTATTAATAACACATTTATTAGAAGAGGTGAAAAATAAAACCTAAAATATATGAAGAGACTGAAGGTAATTTTGATACATCTTACCATTCTCACCTCCGTGCGGGAGGGTAAAGTGAAGGGGCAGAGGCCTGTTGACTAGCAACAATGGCTGAAGAGGAGATACCTGTAAAACAAACAAACACCTTAATTATCTGAAAAAATACACTCAATTCATTTAAGTTCGGTGTTGTACAATATTTTTTTTAACTGATCTATTACTAATTAGCAGTGATGGGAATAACAGCATTATAAATAATTGCCGTTAATAATAGAATAACTTTTTCAGAATTTAGTAATTAAAGACTGTGTTAAGTATTTTAGACAGTGAGTGGTTTATAGGTAACTAATAAAATGACCTAAACTTTAAATTAATCCCCTTTTTAGTGAATGAGTAATAAAGTTAAAGTTAAACTAAATCAAACAAAATTAAACTAAACCAAATTAAACCATACACAACTTACATAACTTACATAACATACAAAAGCAATCCAACACAAATTCAACCAAATCAAACTAAACCAAACCAAACCAACCCAAACTAAACCAAACTGAGCTAACCCAAACTAAACAACACTAACCCAAACCAAATAAAACCAACCCAAACCAAACTAACCCAAACTAAATCAAACCAAATTAAACCAAACTAACCCAAACCAACATAATCCAAATCAACCCCCCCCCCCAAAAAAAACCAAAAAACTCAAACCAGACTAATTTCAAACCAACCCAAACCAAATTAAACCAAACCAAACTAACCCAAAACATATTAAACCAAACTAAACCAAACTAACCCAAACCAAATTAAACCAACCTAAACCAAACTAACCCAAACCAAATTAAACCAACCTAACCCAAACCAAATTAACCCAAAACATATTAAACCAAACTAACCCAAACCAAAATTAAACCAAACCAAACTAACCCAAAACATATTAAACCAAACTAAACTAACCCAAAACATATTAAACCAAACTAAACCAAACTAACCCAAACCAAAATTAAACCAAACCAAACTAACCCAAACCAAATTAAACCAAACCAAACTAACCCAAACCAAATTAAACCCAACCAAACTAACCCAAACCAAAATAAAACAACCTAAACCAAACCAAATTAAACCAAACTAACCCAAACCAATCAAAATTAAACCAAACTAACCCAACCCAACTCAACCCAAATTAAACCAAACTAACCCAAACCAACATAATCCAAATCAACCCAAAAAAAAACAAACCAACAAACTAACCCAAACCAACAGAAACCAAATTAAACCAAACTAACCCAAAACAAATTAAACCAATCTAATTCAAACTAACCCAAACCAAATTAAACCAACCTAAACCAAACCAAACTAACCCAAACCAAATTAAACCAAACCAAACTAACCCAAACCAAATTAAACCAAACCAAACTAACCCAAACCAAATTAAACCAAACCAAACTAACCCAAACCAAATTAAACCAAACCAAACTAACCCAAACCAAATTAAACCAAACCAAACTAACCCAAACCAAATTAAACCAAACCAAACTAACCCAAAACAAAATAAAACAACCTAAAACAAACCAATTAAACCAAACTAACCCAAACCAATCAAAATTAAACCAAACTAACCCAAACCAACTCAACCCAAATTAAACCAAACTAAACTGAATCAAATTAAAATGATCCAAACTAACCTAAAATCAAGCTAACTCAAACCAACCCAAGCAAAAGCAAATGAAACCAAACCAAAATAATCCCAAACAAATCAAACTAACCCAAACCAAGTTAAACCAACCTAAACCAAACCAAACTAACCCAAACCAAGTTAAACCAACCTAAACCAAACCAAACTAACCCAAACCAAGTTAAACCAACCTAAACCAAACCAAACTAACCCAAACCAAGTTAAACCAACCTAAACCAAACCAAACTAACCCAAACCAAGTTAAACCAACCTAAACCAAACCAAACTAACCCAAACCAAGTTAAACCAACCTAAACCAAACCAAATTAAACCAAACCAAATTAAACCAAACAAACCCAAACCAATCAAAATTAAACCAAACTAACCCAAACCAACTCAACCCAAATTAAACCAAACTACACTGAATCAAATTAAAATGATCCAAACTAACCTAAAATCAAGCTAACTCAAACCAACCCAAGCAAAAGCAAATGAAACCAAACCAAAATAATCCCAAACAAATCAAACTAACCTAAAACAAATTAACTAAACACCACCAAACTAACCCAACCCAAACTGCTGTTCTGGCTGACCTGTAGCGTAGGACAGGTCGTACTGTCCCGGCAGCAGCTGATATCCGAGGTGATGATGTGACGGGATCATCCGCTGCGAGGGTGAAGATCTGGGTCGTTCTCCGTCTCTCTCCCTCTCAGCTCCACTGCGCTCTCGGTCATGGGTCGTTTTCTCTGCCACTGTGGGCGATTTGCTCTTGTACTGGCTAGCGTGCTGTTGGAGCATATCCAGAGCTTTGGACTCAGATGCAGATTTTCCGCTCACTGTGGGACTGGATCGAGCTTTCTCAGCCTCTTCACCCGGCGCCATCTTACTGCCGTATGGAGAAAATGAGTAGCCTGGGGACAGGTACGATCCTGGAGGAAAGTCAAATTAATTATATTTATTATCAATATCATCACCTCAGAGTAAGGCTTAACTAGGGTAACTAGGTTTATTAGGCAAGGTAGGGTAACTCGGCAAGTCATTGTATAACAGATGTTTGTTCTGGAGACAATCCAACACTAATATTGCTAATAATATTGACCTTAAAATCGCTTTAAAACAATTAAAAACTAATTTAATTCTATCCAAAATAAAACCAGTAAGACTTTCTCCAGAAGAACAAATATTAGAAGATTTGCAGGAGGGATAAAGCATGCACCCTCTCAACAGTTAGTTATCTCCTCCACACAGAACTTACCAGGGTAATTTTGCATCACAACCGCAGGCATACCCCTGTACCCTGGATGGCTGGGGTCGTAACCCTGTCCATAGGGGTATCCGTGCATGTAAGACATATAGGACTGATGCTGTGCCAGAGGTGTGGAAAACTGCATGTGTGCTCGCGGGTCTTTACTGACTCTGTGCTCCTCTGCGGATGATGAAGTTCGTGGTTCTTCTTTGTTTTCCTCTTTCGATGGCGTGTCTTTGGGACGCTGCCTTTCGTCTTTACTCTTTCGTTCTCTCTCACGTTCTCGGTCTCGATCTCGGTCCTTTTCCCGCTCGCGATCCCTTTCTCGCTCTTCCTTCCATCGCTCCTCGTCAATTTGTTTTTGAGGATCAGGGTACTTGCTGGGGTAAACATAGGGCCACAATCGAGAATCCGGCTCCTGGAAGAGAAGGAGATTTTAATGCACATAATGAAAGAGAGTAAATGCATTGTGTTGATTCTTTACACGGGGTTCTGACTCTTAAAAAAGAATAAGGGCAAATAGTTTTGCCTTTGTGAATAACCCTAAGCTCCTTACCTGTCTATACATGTACATTGCCTGCTCCATAGCCGATCTTCCAGACTCCAGGCTTGGTTTCTGCTCGTCCTTCCCATGATGCCCTGCTTCACTCAGCTTCATTTTCAACCCTTCACCTTGCTGGCTCGGCCCCTTGCCTTCTTCCCCTTTAGGAATAATGACTGATTTGCCAGGCTCGGCAGACTCTTTGGGCTTGCCCTGCGGAGACGGCTTGCCCAAATCTGAAACACTTGGAGCTTTAGACAACGTAGGAGGAACTGAAGCTTTCTGTTTCCACTCTTCCGGCTTCATCTGAGCTTCCCTCTCTTTCTGAGCGGCTTCAGATTTTTTCTCAGAGGCTCGATGTTGCTCGGCTACTTGTCGTTGTCTGTCCTCACACTGCTGTCTGTACGCTGGGTTCATCAGGTGGTTGTGATAGGCCTGATCTGGAGAATATCCAAAGGGATGCACGTATGCATACTGATTATAATAAAGCGGTTGCATGAACATGCTGGAACGCTGCTGGATAACTGAAGGCTGCTGTTGTTGCTGCTGCTGCTGCTGTTGTTGAGAAGATCCAACAACAACGTCTGGCTTTCGATCTTCTGGAGGCTCTGATTTGGGTTTTTCAATGCCTTGCAATTCTGGCTCCTCTTCTTTCTTTACCTTTACCGGACCTTCTTGCAGGGAGGTTGCCGTATTAGAGACTCCTGGACTGGGGTTGCCGTAAGTGTTGTTATTAGGGGAGTAGTATTCAAAACCTGGATAATAGGAGGAGTCTTTGTTTGGCGGCTGGGATGGGAACAGGGTTTTCTTGGCACCTTCCCGAACTGCCGGATCTTCAGATTTGACTTTCGTACTGTCGACTTTACCTTCTCCATCCTCGCCTGCATCAGAGATGTCAGAATATGCTGGGCTGTTGGTCTTCACAGAAGAGTTATCCGCCCCGTTTTGGGTTACCACGTGAAGTGGAGTTAAAGGTTGTGCGATCCCTCCGGTTTCTATCCGACTAGCCACACCAATGCAAGGACTAGGGGAATTGTCAGAAAAGCTGTATATTTTGTCGGCTTCAGCTTTCATGCTTGCAAGGCGGCTCTGATGTGGATCTGAGGATCCATTTAACATCCCTTCATTCCTCCCGCCTTGGTCTGAACTCTCAGAATATGGGCTTTTACCTTCCTCAGGTTTCCCTCCTTTCGCTTTCGGACTGTCTCCTTCCTTTCCACCCTCCTTCTTTTTCTTATCTTTCTTCTTCTTGTCCTTGGAGCCACTCACAGCTTGGTTCATTGCCGGATCTGCTATGACTGCAGGTTTGGGTTGAATGTTTTTCAGCTGCGGGCTTTTACTTATCGGCTGAACCACTACAGAACCCATACTTGTGGACGATCCAGAACTGGGCGCCGGGAATCCAGAGGCTGGCAAGTTGTACAATTGCTGCGTAGGCATTGAGGGAACAAGCGGTGGTCTTGCAGACTTCATTGCTTTCTGAGCAAGCTTAGAACCACTCCCAGCCTTCTTAGCTTTATCCAAACCTCTTTTATCATCGATCCCATCATTGCTAGTGTCATCAGTAAGACACGGTCCATCCTCACAACCATCCATAGGCATTCCAGAGTCATGCTCTGCATCTGATTTTTTCTTGCCAGGCTGTTTGGAGCTCATCTTTCCAGACGGCGATGGACTCTGAGCATCAAATCCTCGTCCTTTTGGAGTGACTGACCGTGCAGGAGATGCACAACCCTTCTGGGAAATAGATGCACCGTTGCAACTGCCTGGCTCGGGATGCAAAGTCGAATCCTCGCCATTTTCGCTATCGCCGTCTATGTCTAGCTTGACGTCGTCGTCATTGTGAGCACGGGCTTGGTGATACTTCAATCCATTGATGTGCTTGTACTTCTTATTGCAGTTAGGATGCGGGCAGTCGATGAGGACTGGAGAGGAGCAACTGCGGTCCAATGAAGGTGGCAATGATTCCGCTTTAACATTGGAAAGGGGTAGAACAGTATGAGGTATCCCACTGTTAGAATTGGTGCGCATCCGTTTGCTGCCCTTGGTGTCCTCTGAACTGGAATTGGGCTCCATGTCTGAGGGAGGTTTGTTCTTGCGTTTGTTAGCAGAGGATGGGCTGGCTTTTACGTCCTCAGTGTTGCTGTTTGGTGGCGTGCGGCGCTCTGAGGAGTTCTGACTGCCCCGGCGGCCTTTACTGTTGGACGCGGCCCGTGTTTTGCTGTTGTTGCTGCCTTTGTTATCAGAAGAGTTGCTGTTCTCATTGACTGGTGTATTGCTGTTGGGTCTCATTCTTTTACCCCGGCCACGGCCGTTTCTCATCTCCAGGTCACTTGTTGGCGACTCACAGAATCTGTGGAAAAATAAAAAAATAATTAAATAAGTGAGAAGTTGAGAAATATGCAGTAAAAATGCTTAAAAAACCTTTTGAAGAAAACATAGATATATTGTTTAAAGTCTGATGATTGACAAAATACAAAGAATCACTAATTTTATCAGTTCGGTCACACTTTACAATACGGTTTCATTAGGTAACGCGTGATAATGTATTTACTAACATGAACTATTAATTAACAATACTTGTTCAGCATTTATTAATCATAGATCAACATTTATTAATGCATTATTAAAATCCAAACTCATGCATGTGATCATGAACTAACAATAAACAATAATAATAATAATTCCTTACATTTATATAGCGCTTTTCTAGACACTCAAAGCGCTTCATACATTGGGAGGGGATCCCCTCATCCACCACCAGTGTGCAGCATCCACCTGGATGAAGTGACGGGCAGCCATATTGCGCCAGACCACACACCAGCTGATTGGTGGAGAGGAGACCGTGATGAAGCCAATTATGGTATGGGGATGGTTAGGAGTCATGATGGACAGAAGCCATTGAGCAAATTGGCCAGGATGCCAGGGTTAAATCCCTACTCTTTTTCAAAGAACATCCTGGGATTTTTAACGTCCACAGAGAGTCAGGACCTCGGTTTAACGTCTCATCCGAAAGACGGCGCTCACTGAACAGTATAGAGTCCCCTTCACTATACTGGGGCATTAGAACCCACACAGACCGCAGGTTGAGCGCCCCCTGCTGGTCTCACTAACACCACTTCCGGCAGCAACCTAGCTTTCCCATGTGCTCTCCCATCCAGGTACTGACCGGGCACAGCCCTGCTTAGCTTCGGTGGGCGACCATGTGAGAGTTGCAGAGAGCGAGCTGCCGGCAAACAACTCATATACTACAGTTAACAAAGATTAACAAGTACTGTAATACTGTACTGTAATGTTCATTGTTTGGTTGTTGTTATTAAACATGAACTTATACAACTTTATTGTAAAGTGCAACCATTTAAGTCTAAACCTTATTTTAAAGTGTGATAATTTAGTTTTTTAATACCTTTTACTGAACTGTATTTAAAAATGGTTTGCCATCGCAAAAATTAAGCAAAACACTCTTAATAGTAAAATGCAAATGTCATGAGAGGGGTTCATCTTCATTGTTGGACACTTATCTTCATATGGTGTTGTTTGTTTTATGTTTTTTCATTATTGATTTGAGCACTTTTTTAATAAAAAGAGTCACACTAAAGGACAAAAAACTTTGAACTATGATCTTTAAAAGGTTAAAGATCTTGAATAGGCTCCCTCAGCTAATTAAAGTTATCAAATAAAACAGCTAAATTAAAATCACCACATCGTGTCACACCTGAGGGCAGTCTTTTAGTGACAAAATAGATCAAGTTTGTATGTTTTTAGAAATAAATGGATAAAAAAAATATGTAAAATAGCCACTTGTAAAATTAGACCTGAGGTGTTTAATGATTTCACAACTTTTTTTTAAATTTATGAGAGAAAGTCACCACAGGACAGCTTTGAGATTTGTGCAGTGGTACTTAAAAAGTCATACTCATGTAAAAGCACCATTACTTGCCTAAACATGTAGCGCAGGAAGAGTAAAAGTATCTGTTGTAAATATTACTGAAAGCATCAGTAAAAAGCAGACTTTTCAAGAGTACTCAAGAGTAGTGAGTAGTGAATATTACTCTGTTTAAAGCTGATGCATTTACATGTAATGTGTGGATGTGTGTGTAAACGTAACATTCTGTAGTGCATTAGTTATTGCCCAGCAGGCACACAATGTCATAAAACGTAATTGTTAGGTTAGATTTAGGTTGTGATGTCAGGTGACCAAAATTCAATATCTAGCCAGTGTATAAGGAAAACGTTATTTTGATGACGTTGATATTTGGTTGTTTTTAGGTTGTGTTAGAAAGTGACCAAAATCCAACATTAAGCCAACATTGAGGTCAAATACGGACATTTATTCATCAGGTATAGCAACCGACATCCAACGTTTAATAGACGTCATAGTGGTAACGTCCACACAACATCAAGCTGTAACATTAATAGACGTTGACATTTGGTTGATATTAGGTTGGACGTTGATGGCGTTGACAGTTCTGACGTCAACCCAATTTTCATTCGCAAATAAAATGCAACGTCCTCACGACATTAAAGGTACAACGTCAATCTGACGTCATGTTGACATCTTGTGCCTGCTGGGTGTCATTTTGCTCATCATACAGTAAACATCTGTCATCTTCTCATCAGTGATCTGCATCTAATCAGTCTCTGGGTCAAGAGCGTGTAAAGATATTGGACATCTTGGACACTTTTAATGCTTCCAAACAGTTGCGATTATAAGTCGCCCATGTCTTGAGGAAGTTCATTATGAGGTGATTTACCTTCTATGTGTGATTTGATTGGACGGGAATAATTCACAGGACTGAATTGTCTCATCCCCATAGACAAGAGCAAATACAGTAGTGACAGCAGGTTGAAGGACAGTAGTGGAGTAAAAGTGCGGATACTGCAGTAAACATGTGCTCAAGGGAAAGTAAATGTACACATTTATAAAACTACTTAGTAAAGTACAATTCCAGAGAAACACTACTCAATTACTGCAGCTTGAGTATTTGTAATTAGTTACTTTACACCACTGGATTTAGGTAAAAAAAAATGTAATAACAGCACATCTTTATAAGACGAGGTCCATGGAAGACCAAGAGATGTTTAACCATATACTGCCTTTTAAAGTCTGCGTGAAATCACAATAGTCAGTGTTTATTTCGCTAGCTCACATTGTTACTCTGACGGTGAATAATTCATCAATATTAATCTGTGAAGTGAATAAATTAATCCACTGATTTTTTTTTTTTAAATGTGTAAAATAAATGCTTCAGTGAGATGATAGTAAAAGCTGAAATTGAAATGACGGGATATAATACCATTTTGTAAACTCGGGAAACACCTCAACACTACAGGCGAGTGTTTGAAATGAATCCTACTGTGAGACTCCTCCATAATCATGTTTACAGTTGTGTGTTCATTCATTCATTCATTCATTCATTCATTCATTTTCTTGTCGGCTTAGTCCCTTTATTAATCCGGGGTTGCCACAGCGGAATGAACCGCCAACTTATCCAGCAAGTTTTTACGCAGCGGATGCCCTTCCAGCCACAACCCATCCCTGGGAAACCTCCACACACACATTCACACACTACGGACAATTTAGCCTACTCAATTCACCTGTACCGCATGTGTTTGGACTGTAGGGGAAACCAGAGCACCCGGAGGAAACACACGTGAAGGCAGGGAGAACATGCAAACTCCACACAGAAACACCAACTGAGCCGAGGTTCGAACCAGCAACCTTCCAGCACTACCTACTGCTCCACTGCCTCGCCGTTGTGTGTTTATAGTCTTGTTTATTAATTATTATAGTCACACTGAATCAATGAAAGCAGTTCAATCTATCTATTAGTGTGTATTTGCAGAGATTTGTGTGTTTCTGCGAGAGCAAATCGGAGATTTCGTGCACGCCAATCGTAGCATTGCTCAATCACAATTGCGGTTTCAATTCAATAAAAATCCCCCAACCCGAGAGCTTACAGCGCTGTAGATTCTCTGAGATGAGAAACGGGCTCTCCACTAAATCAGCCTCTCCATTTGGATGCTGTAAGTGCTTCTCCAGCGGGCCCTGGAGAGCCAGCAACGTGCTGTGCGTTTTTATCCTCTGGTTATCCCTGATCTCGACAGCAACTCTTGTTCTGATGAATGGCACACAGCGCTGCAGGATTACGCCACGCTGACCTGGATGCTGATTAGACGCAGTCTGATAACATCCTCCAACAGATAAGGCACCGGCTCGGAGAGCTCCATCAAAGCTCGAGCATTAAACCGCAGTAAAACAAAGCAGTTACTGTAGTTACCCCAGGACCCCGAACCCTCAGAACAAAACTGACAAGATGATGATAATACAGCTGAAGCAGAATTACTAGCACCCATAAAACATGATAGTGTTAATAATTCATCTCTAATCACTGATCTCTTTTCTCTTTGTCATGATGACAGTAAATAATATTAGACTAGATATTCTTCAAGACACTTCTATACAGCTTAAAGTGACATGTACAGGCTTCACTAGGGTAATTAGGGTAAAGTTAGGGTAATTAGGCAAGTCATTGTATAACAGTGGTTTGTTCTGGAGACAATCCAAGACTAATATTGCTGAAGGGGTGAATAATATTGACCTTACAAAAGGTGTAAAACAATTAAGAACTGCTTTAATTCCAGCCGAAATAAAACAAATCAGACTTTCTCCAGAAGAACAAATATTAGAGGAAATACTGTGAACATTTCCTGAATCTCATTTGAGAAATATTAGAAAAAGAAAAACAAAATCACTAAACTAGACTAAACTATTATTTTAATAAAATGTACATGAGGTACATGCCCAAAATTAAATATACTCTGTCTAATTGAATGTATCCTTGATAAATTCAATGACTTGAATTTTACTTTACTACTGAAAGTTAGGTTTATTTAACCAGCAAGTTTTTGTTGTTGTTGGATTTTTTTGGATCGGAAATGACCCAGGATTCTCCAAAAAGTTAATAAGATGATACAAGAGGCATCAATGTGGAAATAAATATTCCTCTGCTTTTATTTACGTTTGGACAAAAACTTGAATTCAGAATTTGCAAGGGCCATGAATAATTTCAGGCTTGATTTTACGCGTGTATATAAGTTTTGCGTAATGCATGTTGCATATATGTGAAGTCCAAATATGATCTTGGTAAGTCATACATGTGATTTGTATATATTTGCATATATCAGACGTCTATGTGGAACTGCATAAAGTTCATGGTCTGAGTATTTGGGATGTGCAGAATCAGATTTGTCAGTGGAAATCTCCACAATGGTGACGCCGAAACATAAAAAGCAAAGAGCTTTCACTGATCTCTCAATGTTTTGAGCAGTTCTGAGTCTGAATAACCAGCCTGATCTCACGAGAAAACGTAAGTATTTTACGTTTTGGCAGTTTAGTGGCTAATTCGTACGAATTCAGTCGTAAGAAATTGTGCGATTTTAAAAAGGAGGCGTGGCATCTAACCCCACCCCTAAACCCAATCGTCATTGGGGGATGAGCAAATCGTACTAAAATGTACGAATTAGTTCGTACGAATTCGAACGAATTAGTCACTAAATGAAAATGTTACGAATTGCCGTGAGATTGTGTTGGAATAACTCCTGCATGACTGCGGTGCATCATCTTCAGCGCTGCTCTCCTCAGGGGATAAAGCTGTGTGTGATGTTGTCCTGCAGCCCGCAGATAAAGCCCAGCATGGAAATACAGCCTGTTCTGGAACATTACCATTAGAAATCACAAGCAGCCTCCTGAGGCAGAGGCCCCTTAAACGTATACAGCATTATGTACAGCAAATCATTCTGCACTACGCTGTGCTGCTGTCTGACCTTGAGGAGGATGCCAAACACAGCTAAGAGTTGGAGTTAAAACAGGCATCAGGTAAAAGGTAAATAAACAAACTCATTTAGACCTGAACACACTATTAAAGGTGCTATTAAAAGTTTTTTACTTTTATCAGACTCACTAGTTTTTCAAGATTTTTTGTGATTTGTTGCGAAAAAAATTGCTGATTTTGTGGTGACAATTCCCAGAAATTTGAGGACAATTTTATATATATATATCTATATATAAATAAAAGTGTGTATATATATATATATATATATGTGTGTGTTTGTGTGTGTGCATATATGTGTTTGTGTGTGTGTACATATATGTGCGCCTGTGTGTGTGTATATGTGTGTATATATGTGTGCATGCGTGTGTGTGTGTGTGTATATGTGTGCATGCGTGTGTGTGTGTGTATATGTGCGTGTGTGTGTGTATATGTGCGTGTGTGTGTGTGTGTGTGTGTGTATATATGTGTGCGTGTATATATATATATATATATATATATATATATATATATATATATATATATATATATATATATATTAAGGCTGTAACGATACACGTATTTGTAGTGAACCGTTCGGTACGAGACTTTCGGTTTGGTACGGATTACAAACCGATTCAGACTAAAATCTAAAAAGATAAAAGAGAATCAGTGTAAAAAACATGTTTTCAGTGCAACAACGCTCAACATGGCATCCCAGATGATATGGTTTGTTTTCGGTACATTTGTAGCTGTGGATATGAGACAGGGCTCCAAATTGCGACCGTTTTGGTTGCATATGCGCTCAAAATTTTATCAATGCAACGTCAAAATATATTTGATAACAGCACACTTATTATTGTTAACTAATGATAGGGCCAGTAAATTAAAATCAGTATATATATATATATATTTTTTTATATATATACTCTTATTTCTATCCACAATCTTACTTTCTACAGGTGTCACTCCCCGGAGCATCTGACATCATGTACCTCACTCAGACAAGTGTTAGGGTAGAGGTCTGCATTCCTGCGGCTGTCCCGCGGGCGCCACAGGACCCGAACAGATTTCTGCAGCGCGGGAATAAATTTCAGAATAAATCACGGGAGCGGTTGGAAACGGGTTTAATTTGGGACGGGAGCGGGCTGTCTAGCAATATCACTATGCGAATGAGAGAGAGCTTTGCCTGTGTGTGTGTGCTTGTGTGTGTTAGAGCGCGTGGAGAGAGAGAGAGAGAGAGAGAGAGAGAGGAGAGAGAGAGAGAGAGAGAGAGAGAGAGAGAGAGAGAGAGAGAGAGAGAGAGATTTCCCAAATAGCAAAATACACTCGGGCCAGTTCCGGGTAGATTCTCGCCTGCCAGAGACTTACCACTCAGCCCGGCTCCGGCTGCCGGACTCCGGATGCTTGTGGACTCACTGCCCGATTCCGGCCCGAGAGTAATGTGCGCTGCGGCCCGGAGCTGGCGCGACTCAATATTTATATACCTTTATATAAAACCTTTTGGTATTACATTGGTACTTGATACATGGTATTACAAGCCTTTGAGTTGATATAACAGCAAACGCCTGTGTGTCTGCTTGGTGCTTGTGTGTGTGTTAGTGCGCGCGCGCGCATATGAGAGAGAGAGAGAGAGAGAGAGATTTGTCTGTGTGTGTGTGCTTGGTGCTGTGTGTGTGTTAGTGCGCACGCGCGCGTATGAGAGAGAGAGAGAGAGATTTGTCTGTGTGTGTGTGCTTGGTGCTGTGTGTGTGTTAGTGCGCACGCGCGCATATGAGAGAGAGAGAGAGAGATTTGTCTGTGTGTGTGTGCTTGGTGCTGTGTGTGTGTGTGCTTGGTGCTGTGTGTGTGTGTGCTTGGTGCTGTGTGTGTGTGTGTTTATACAGACAGCTTGGCTGTCTGGACTGTATAGCTGGGGGATTTTCGGTTTTGTTCTCCCCCGCTCTTTAGCGGGATCGGGCGTGGCGGGCAGAAAACGGGGCGGGTCGGGCAGCGGGACAATAAATTCTTAATATAAGCGGGAGCGGTCGGGTTCGGGCGGGAGCGGGATTCAAAATTTAGTCCCGCGCAGATCTCTACGTTAGGGCTTCCCCTACCGTAATACACCTAAACACAGACTGCCGTAAAACTCGTCAACGGCAGAGAAACGTTTTCTCTCGTTAACTGCAGCAAAAGCGTCCAATCTTAATCCAATCATTGCATCTGTGTCTGCTTACTGCACAAGCTGCCAAACAGTTCCCCACTCTCATATAATGTAATGATTGTGAGGTGCAGGCGAGATGTCATTTTTCGAGAGACACTTAAATACATCACGTCAGCTGCGAATGCAACGTCATGTAAAAAAAAATTGTATTGCAAACTGAAATAAATATAATTTGATTATATGGCTTGGAATTGGATTTTATGAGATTATTTACATTTTTTGCGATTATTTAGCATTTAATTACGAATTTTTAAGGATTGCAAAAATGTGTTTTTTTTTCTTGTTGATTTAGCGATCGTGGAATCACGAAAAACCAGGGGCTCTGAGTTATAAATCATAAAATAACAGACTATGTGTGCAGATATTTATTAAACATGCTCAGTGAACATACATGTTTATCTGAAAAACAATGCTCAATCAGTCACTCCATCTTGAAATGTTTATTTAGTTTTCGAATGTGTCTCAGTTTGCATACAAATTAGTAGCCAAATAGTATTCAAAAATAAGATGAGTATGTCCCGAACCGTTGTTAAGCAACAACACGGGTTGCCAAGTAGTGTAAAAATGCATCTGAAACAAATCTGATTTTCAAAGTCCAACACTGAATTCCTATCTCATCATAAATTGATTTAAATTAGATTTACTGCTCATTTGTGAAGCGCTGATATAATCTAATCATGCATTTAGTCTCCTCCTACTGATTAATCAAAAGATGCAGATAAAAAGGCACATTTGCAGACCGCAGGAGTTTTCATTTCATGCAAAAGCAAGAAATAAAATACAGTTTTGGTTGCTTTCACAGTTTATTTGACTAAATCTGTAATAATAAACTATCAAATGTTTTTTAAATAAATATTTAGTGAGATAAATTGTGAAAGGAACACAACTGTTAAGCAGTTTGAAGCACATTTTATACTTTAAAAACACTAGACTGAACGTCAGGCATTTTCAGCATCTCCAGCCCCCGTTTGACCCCTGGGTTTAGTCGTATGTTTGCTATTAGTCTTACCGTGGCGGCGCCCAGTCATGTCGAGTGCAGTCTAAAAGAGTGCCCACATACGTCTTGTTCCTCCAGGTGACATTCACCACCAGCATACCTGCAGAAAACACACAGCAAACACCCTCATCATGGAGTTTTACTGTCATACTGTTGTTAAATGTGCGGTTCACTGCTCGAGCTCACTTCATTAATGGCTTTGTTAGTTTGCTTGAACACATTTCTGTTGAGTTTTAATGTATTCAGTGTTCGCTTTAGTGATTGATCAGAGTGAACAGACCAGAGCAGAGTTCAGTGTTTAACAGCTTATATAATAACATATAATATAATAACAGTTTAAATGATAAACGAATGGCACAAATACACAGCCGATTGTACATTCCTGAGCACAGATGCCTGAATCCTGGACACACACACACACACACACACACACACACACACACACACACACACACACACAGTATAAAGCCTAGCAGAACAGCAGGGTGCACAAAACACTATTAGTATGCAAGGAGAGGTAAAGAACAGACCCACGTCCTCCGTCTGACATTGCTGCCGTATGTACGGACGTGGACTCAACTGTTGGTCCTCTTTAAATATTTTATGTGACAGGAAGGGTTGCCAAATATTGCCAAAAATAGTATTGTTGCATACTGTATATTTAATTCTTTAAGTAGACTGCATCAGATCAAGCATCCAGAAACAGAACTGGGTGTGGAAGGGTTTTCCATGTGACAGAAAGGGTTGCCAAATACTCAAAAAAAAAAAAAAAAAAATATATATATATATATAAAAAAGATATATATATATATATATATATATATATATATATATATATATATATATATATATCTGAATTATTGCATACTGTAAATCAGATCAAGTATACAGTGAGCAGAACTTTGTGTTCAAATATTTTTTCCATTTTCTGTGTGACAGGAAGGGTTGCCGAATATTTAAAAAAATCTGTATTATTGCATACTGCAAATCTATTGAATATTTTTTGTGTGACAGGTAGGGTTGCCAAGTAGTGTAAAATAACAACAATGGTGTATTATTGCATACAGTAAATCTGATCTTTTCTAATTGAATACATTTTTTATGTGACAGGAAGGGTTGCCAGATAATGCCAAAAGAAATCAGTATTATTGCACACTGTTTATCTATTGACTGTTTTTTTATGTGGCAGGAAGGGTTGCCAAATAATGTGAAATAACAAAAAAGCTGTATTATTGCATACTGGATATCTAATACTTTCTAACTGAGTAGACTGCATCAGATCAAGCATCCAGAAACAGAACTGGGTGTGGAAGGGTTTTCCATGTGACAGGAAGGGTTGCCAAATACTCTAAAATAACAAAAATATCTGAATTATTGCATACTGTAAATCAGATCAAGCATACAGTGAGCAGAACTTTGTGTTGAAAGATTTTTCCAATTTCTGTGTGAAAGGAAGGGTTGCCAAATAGTGTAAAAATATTTTGTGTTACTGCATACTGTAAATCTATTGACTATTTTTAATGTGACGGGAAGGGTTGCCAAATATTGTAAAAAATCTGTATTATTGCATACTGCAAATCTATTGAATATTTTTTATGTGACAGGTAGGGTTGCCAAGAAGTGTAAAATAACAACACGGGTGTATTATTGCATAGAGTAAATATGATCTTTTCTAATTGAATACATTTTATATGTGACAGGAAGGGTTGCCAGATGATGCCAAAAAAATCAGTATTACTGCACACTGTTTATCTATTGAATGTTTTTTAATGTGGCAGGAAGGGTTGCCAAATAATGTGAAATAACAAAAAAGCTGTATTCTTGCATACTGTAAACCTAATAATTTCTAATTACATAGTGCCAAAAATTGTATTATTGCATACTGGATATCTAATACTTTCTAACTGAGTAGACAGCATCAGATCAAGCATCCAGAAACAGAACTGGGTGTGGAAGGGTTTTCCATGTGACAGAAAGGGTTGCCAAATAGTGCCAAAAAAGTAAATCTAATCTTTTCTATTATGTGACAAGAAGGGTTGACAAATACTCTAAAAATATATATATATATATATATATATCATATATATATATATATATATATATATATATATATATATATATATATATAATAATATCTTTATTATTGCATACTGTAAATCTATTTTTTTCTTTAATGTGACAGGAAGGGTTGCCAAATACTCTAAAATAACAAAAATATCTGAATTATTGCATACTGTAAATCAGATCAAGCATACAGTGAGCAGAACTTTGTGTTGAAAGATTTTTCCATTTTCTGTGTGACAGGAAGGGTTGCCAAATAGTGTAAAAATATTTGTATTATTGCATACTGTAAATCTATTGACTATTTTTTATGTGAAAGGAAGGGTTGCCAAATAGTGTAAAATAACAAAAAATAGCAGATCAAGCATGGAGTGAACAGAACTGAGTGTTGAAGGATTTTTCATTTTTTATGTGACAGCAAGGGTTGCCAAATATTTCCAGAAAATCGGTATTATTGCATACTGTGAATCTAAGGCTTTCTAATCGAATGGACTGCATCAGATCATGCGTCCAGTGAACAGAACTAAGTGTAAAAGGGTTTTTCTGTGTGACAGGAAGGGTTGCCAAATATTGTAAAAAAAAATCTGTATTATTGCATACTGTATATCTATTGAATATTTTTTTTATGTGACAGGAAGGGTTGCCAAATAGTGTAAAATAACAAATACGGTGTATTATTGCATACAGTAAATCTGATCTTTTCTAATTAAATAAATTTTTTATGTCACAGGAAGGGTTGCCAGATAATGTCCAAAAAATTTGTATTGTTGCATATTGTAAATCGAATCATTTCTAATTAAATAAACAGCATCAGATCAAGCATCCAGTGAACAGAACTGGGTGTTGAGGGTTTTTACATGTGAGAGGAAGGGTTGCCAAATAGTGCCAAAATAAATCTGCATTATTGCATTCTGTGAATCTGAGACTTTCTAATTAAATGGACTGCATCATATCAAAGCATCCAGTGAACAAAGCTGAGTGTTGAAGGGTTTTTCTGTGTGACATGAAGGGTTGTCAAATAGTGGCAAAAAATCTGTATTATTATATACTGTATATCTATTGAATATGTTTTATGTAACAGGGAGGGTTGCCAATTAGTGTAAAATAAATACGGTGTATTATTGCATACAGTAAATCTGATCTATTCTAATTGAACACATTTTATATGTGACAGGAAGGGTTGCCAGATAGTGCCAAAAAATCTGTATTGTTGCATATTGTAAATCTAATCATTTCTAATTGAATAAACCGCATCCAGTGAACAGAACTGGGTGTTGAAGGGTTTTTACATGTGATAGGAAGGGTTGCCAAATGCTGTAAAATAAATCTGTAGTCTTGCACACTTTAAATCCAATCTGCTCTACTTGAATAGTTTGCATCAGATCATGCATCCAGTGAACAGAACTGGTGTTGAAGGACTTTTTTCCATTTATTATGTAACAGAGAGGGTTGCCAAATAGTGTAAAATAACAAAAAGTCGTATTATTGCATGATGTAAATAAAACACTTTGAAATTGAATAGACTGCATCAGATCAAGCATCCAGTGAACAGAACTGGGTGTTGAAGGGTTTTTACGTCTGACTGGAAGGGTTGCCAAATAGTGCCAAAAAACAGTATTGTTGCATACTGTTAATCTAATACTTGCTAATTAAATAAATTGCATGAGATTAAGCATTCAGTGAACATAAGCGGGTGTTATTTGTCCAGCTCAGTGTTATAAGCCATTATTAAAGCATCTCTGAGTGTTCGGTGTTAGTTTTGAACTGGAATCAGCTGAGGTGTATGAACAGATCCATTACATTAACAAGTTTTGTGGATCAGTTTAACATTTAAACTCACACATCCAGAGAGACGGAGAATAAAGAGCACGCTGTTACTGAAGCACACTTATGAACAGCAGGGGGCAGCAGACAGCAGGTTAACATCACCTGTTTGGCATATTCAATTATTGTATTTCTAAATTAAATATTTATTGAGTTCTTACTTGCAGAAAATGCAGAAAAACAACCCTTAATAATAAACAAACAGCGTGAGAGTGATTTATCTTCACCGTCAGACACTCATCTTCATATAGTGCTGTTTATTTAAGAGGAAATTATGAATCATGTTTGTTAGTGTCAATGACTTGTTGCAGATTTTCAATAAACAGGAGACTCACAATAAAGGACTAATAAAGATACTTCTATAGTGATTCCAGAAAAGTTACATTTGTTGAAAATTTCTAAGATTAAAGAGGGTCCTTCGACTAATTATGAAAGTTTTTAGTGTGATTACAGTGTCACAGCAGAGGACACGCTGCTCCACTGTTTAATATATGACTTGTGTAGATGGATAGATGGATGGATGGATGGACAGAGAGTGGGATGGACGGATGGATGGATGGACGAATGGACAGACAGATGGACAGTTGGGTAGACAGACAGACAGACAGACAGACAGACAGACAGACAGACAGACAGACAGACAGACAGACAGACAGACAGACAGACAGACAGACAGATAGATAGATAGATAGATAGATAGATAGATAGATAGATAGATAGATAGATAGATAGATAGATAGATAGATAGATAGATAGATAGATAGATAGATAAATGGATGGATGGATGGACGGAGAGACAGATGGACAGACAGATGGACAGTTGGATAGATGGAAGGATGGATGGATAGACAGATGTATGGATGGACGGAGAGACAGATGGATGGATGGATGGATAGATATATAGATAGATAGACAGGTGGATGGATGGACGAACGGATAGACAGACAGACAGACGGACAGACGGACAGACAGATGGACAGTTGGATAGATAGATAGATAGATAGATAGATAGATAGATAGATAGATAGATAGATAGATAGATAGATAGATAGATAGATAGATAGATAGATAGATAGATAGATAGATAGACAGATAGATAGATAGATAGATAGATGGATGGATGGATGTATGGATGGATGGAGAGACGGATGGATGGATGGATGGATGGATAGATAGATAGATAGATAGATAGATAGATAGATAGATAGATAGATA